CTGAAGTAGCCTGTATCCTATTTGAAGAAAACGCCTTGGTTTACACAGAAGATGGAAATAAACCACAGCAATGGTATATTTCCTTTTTATCATAAATGTAATCACTTTGATAAAAAGATATAAAAGGATAATATAATAACAATAATAAAAAGCTTTGAACTTGTACATTGTTCAAAGCAGGAATTCAACAACAGTGTACTTTTTAAAAATGTAACAGAGTGTACTTTTCTATCTTCTTTTGTGGTATATAAAACATTTCTTATGTAACAATTAGTAAAATAAGTTATTGAGACAAGTATTTTAGCTCTTCAAAAGAGTAATAAGGTTGAAAACTACACTTTTTGCTCACGTTATGACGTTAAGAACAAAAACCCGTTTTTGCATTTGAAAGTAAGTGTCAAAGCTCCATCCAAAAAAACGTAAAACTTTATATTCTTTTAGGTCAAAATTATGTTTCAAAAGCCAAACTCTAATCAGGTCACATCTGATTCCAAAGAAAAGACTGTGAAGATGAAATGAAATAGCTATTTATCATGTTGTCAAACAAAAAAACATAAAGGCTTTCACATGATTAGTCTCCTGTCCTGATCTGTACAGATCTTTCTAAATCAAAACACACAGAAAAACTTACTATAATAGATATGACTGCGCTTTTGTCTTGGTTGACTTCATCGACTCATTTTAAGACGACTGATTCATCTAGTGGAAAATGTCCAATTTTGATGTATGTTTTCATTTATGTGTGTGTGTGTGTGTTTTGTTATTTTCTACACCTCCTGTGGAAACTGCTCTGGTACGACGGCGATCCATCTCGCTGATTTTATTTGGGCTTGTTTAGTCTGACAGCTGCGCGTTTGCGTAAACATATCCAAATTATTGGGACACCACCCCCTAAATCCGGTCGTGTCATCACAGGAGACTCGTGATCTTTTGCTCATGTTTGCTCATTTCATGGTGGCACCAAGGTAAAATTCATTGCCAGGCATCTTATGTTTTACAGAAATGTCTTTGTGCGTAATTTCAAACCGAGCAGCACTGCTTCCTTTTGAAGTTTAAATTCA